GTCTTCAGCCTGTTTCTGTATGAGTTTTAGTTCAATGAACAATTTAGAGAGAATCTTCCAAGAGAAATCATATAAGGCCAAAAATGTATCTTGATCCTTTAAGATTTCAGAAAGTGTCTCTTCATTAAGCCTTTTTAATTCACAACATTTTTCCCTCTTTGTGAGATTTCCTTTAGCACAACATTCTTTATCTCACAAGGAGTGTCACCAAAAATAGCCCACATTTCCTCATCAAGAAAGTCTGTATTTCTCCTGTGCTGAAAGTGGTTGGTTGAAAAAATATAGTACATCTTCAGAGCATTGCCCCACAGTGCAGAAGCATCATAAAAATGATGATGATGATGATGTCTGAGGTGGGAAAAGTGCCATGGACGAGATCAGTGTTGGTGGCGTGTCTCTTGGTAATGCTTTTACTCAGTGAGGATGCGTCAGCTAGACGTGGCATGCGACGTGGTGGAAAACGCAAGAGTTTCTCCAGGATGCCCATAGTCTACACGAATCCGGAAAGCGACGACTATTACAACCATCCCAATGTGGGTTATGAGTCATGTTTCACTGCAGTGAAGTGAGGGTTACTGAATTTGATCTTCTTTTGTTTCATCCTGTGGCATAAAATCCAAACATGGGTAAGCTTTTGAACAATTTGGCACCCAATGGTGATTTTTCTTTGAGCCAGGTCATAATCAAGTTTGGAAATACAGCAAGAACCAAGATGTGGACATAATTGGTGCATCAAGAGTGTCTCTAAGTTGAATTGCCCCTAAATCAATTCTTGTGTTCCTGTAGGCTTACATTATATACTTCTTAATTGGTGTTTTATGGAAGAAATATTCATCAGAACTCCATGAAAAAAAATTTTGCCACTTGAATTTGATTCAGTGAATATATTTTCAACTCAAAAAGCACATTTGGAGTATTGAATACTGTATCTCTGTACTGTACATTGAAATGTTGGCATTTACAAAAATAAAATTCAAGTCACAAGAGAGAAAAGGAAGTCCCTCCATATGGTTTAGGTAATATTTTAATTAGCTGAATAGATGGGAAAATGATGAGAGTTATGATAAAGAATTTTTTTGGAATAAATCTTAGGGTTGGAAATGTCTGTTTCTTGTAATCAAGCTTGATAAAAGTCAATTTTTGTGAAATTTATTGCCAATTTTATCATGCAATGTTCACATGTCAAGTCAGTGTCCACATGTTGGGCCTTTTTTTTGCCCTTCTTATTGAAAAATAAATGTCCCCATGTGAAATTGTCCTCATATGTCAAGGTTGTGGTGGTCTCACTGTACTCAACAAGGCTTTTCCCACAGCTGACATTTTTAAAAGCAAGGAGCATTGATGAATCAGAAGTAAAGGAGCTATCAAGCATTATTGATTTGAATTAGGAGGAATACATTTTAAATTAATCATTTTCTTTCTGTAACTGATCATGATCTCCTTTACTTTCAATTTCAGTCAAGGAAGAGAGACTTCATCTCACCTCTTTAAGAGATACATAATAATATAGTGGTTAAGTACACATATACTTCAAAAATCAAAATTCCCCTAGTGATCAGAAGTAAAGGAGCTATCAGGCATTATTGATTTGGAGCAAGAGGAATGCATTTTAAACTAATGATTTTCATTCTGTATCTGATCATGATCTCCATGCTGTATTGAATGGTTTTGGCCATGCAGAAATCCTTTTTTTTCTTATGAAAAATATAAAAAAATCCATCTCTCTCCAGGCCTTGGAAGGAATCCTTGTGCAATGCAGTAGAGAGATCGCAGATATAGAAATATGTAGGGCTTCCAAAGCTTGACCTTTTGTGGCAAACAGTTAAGAGAGCATTCTTGTGCCAAAAAGTATAGATGAGACGTACTAGAAAAGATCAGTTCTTATGAGCTTCAACAATAGCCCAGTACTGGTCAGTACTTCTGTCCCATGGAAATCCAGAAATCTTTTGGCCTCTCCAGAGCAACTTCCATTAATATATTCAAGGAGGAATGGGACAGAAAACTCCAAAAGCTGGATGGAAGGTCTTCCATCTGCCAATGCTGTACTGTACAGTCTGGAATTTAATGGAAGTACTTGAAGATTCATGTGACGTTCATTTGTATGTTATCAGGGGCCCTTTGAGAAAGATTGTAATCTGAAAAATACCTGAAACAGGAAAATATTATCAAATTGGTTTTTTCTAAGTTCATGTGGCTCCAAAACAGCCTGTGATATTTTTGGCTTGGAATTCAGAGACTCCACAATGTCAAATCCATTAGCTGAAATTCTTCCCTATTGAAGTTGAAAAATAAATTAATAGACATCAGAAGTGCTTTGAGGCCAAAAGAGCACAAGATACCTTGCCTGCAGAAAGACCCATGCAGTGATGCAGTGCTTGAAACCCTACTTGTATGTTTTGTTGTTGTGGAAACTACATCAGAAAAAATATTTTAATTTCAATCATGGAAGAGAGACTTAATCTCACCTCTTTAAGAGATTTGTTAATCAATACAACTTAAAACACTTCATAGGATAATGATTAGGTAAAGATCTACTTCAAAAATCAAAACTCCCTTAGTGATTTGAGCCAACACCTTACCTTTGCATCAAAATCATATGGTAGAAATTTCCCTGCTCTCACTCCTTGTCATTTTGGTCCATTCAAAAGGCTTCAAAAACCTTGAATTCAAAGGATATAGTTACCATATATCTTATTGCTGGAGCCATGCATCCAGAGGTATGCAATTGAATGCTTTAGTGGAAAGACATTTCTCATCCCAGTTTTTTTTTAAAGATTCTAAATTGCAGTAGAAAACTATGAATGATTTTGTGTGACCCTGACACTGTTTTTTAAAGGAAAAAAATAGCAGTTCAAAAAATTAAAATTTCAGTAAACGGGTGTGTTTTGCAAACTTTCAATTCAATGCAGGTAATTATTTTTGCAATTTCTCATGAGTCCTCTCATCAGTGAGAGTCAAGNTGGTGGAAAACGCAAGAGTTTCTCCAGGATGCCCATAGTCTACACGAATCCGGAAAGCGACGACTATTACAACCATCCCAATGTGGGTTATGAGTCATGTTTCACTGCAGTGAAGTGAGGGTTACTGAATTTGATCTTCTTTTGTTTCATTCTGTGGCATAAAACCGAACAAAGGGTAAGCTTTTGATCAATTTGGCACCCAATGGTGATTTTTCTTTGAGCCAGGTCAAAATCTAGTTTGGGAATACAGGGAGAACCAAGATGTGGATATAATTGGTGCATCAAGAGTGTCCCTAAGTTGAATTGTCCCTAAATCAATTCTTGTGTTCCCAGAGACTTACATTATATAATTCTTAAACGGTGTCTTATGGAAGAAATATTCATCAGAACTCCATGAAAAAAATTGTTTGCCACTTGAATTTGATTCAGTGAATATATTTTCAAATCAATAAGAACATTTGGAGCATTGAATACTGTATCTCTGTACTGTACATTGAAATGTTGGCATCTGCAAAAATAACATGCAAGTCAAAAAGAGAGAAGGAAGTCCCTCCATATGGTACAGGTAATTTTTTATTAGCTGCATTGATGGGAAAATGATGGGAGAATTGACAAAGAACTTTTCTTGCATAAATCTTAGGGTTGGAAATATCTGTTTCTTGCAATAAAGCTGGATAAAAGTCAATTTTTGTGAAATTTACTGCCCATGTTATCATGCAATTTCCTCATGGCAAGTCAGTGTCTGTATGTTGGGCCTTTTTTATGCCCTTCTTATTGAAAAATAAATGTCCCCAAATCAAATTCCATATGTCAAGGTGTCCAAATGTGGGGGTCTCACTGTACTCAACAAGGCTTTTCCCAGAGCTATTACATTTTTAAAAGCAAGGAGCATTGATGTATCAGAAGTAAAGGATATATCAAGAATTATTGTTTTGAATCAGGAGGAATACATTTGAAATTAATCATTTTCTTTCTGTAACTGATCATGATCTTCTTTACTTTCAATTTCAGTCATGGAAGAGAGATTTCATTTCACCTCTTTAAGAGATACATAATAAGATAGTGGTTAATTACACATATACTTCCCCTATAGTGATCAGAATTAAAGGAGCTGTCAGGCATTATTGATTTGGATCCAGAGGAATGCATTTTAAATGAATGATTTTCATTCTGTATCTGATCATGATCTCCATGCTGTATTGAATGGTTTTGGCCATGCAGAAATATTTTTTTCTCATGAAAAATATAAAAAAATTCATCTCTCTGCAGGCCTTGGAAGGAATCCCTGTGCAAAGCAGTGGAGAGATCGCAGATATAGAAATATGTAGGGCTTCCAAAGCTTGACCTTTTGTGGCAAACAGTTAAGAGAGCATTCTTGTGCCAAAAAGTATGGATGAGACGTACTAGAAAAGATCAGTTCTGATGAGCTTCAACAATAGCCCAGTACTGGTCAGTACTTCTGTCCCATGGAAAATCCAAAAATCTTTTGGCCTCTCCAGAGCAACTTCCATTAATATATTCAAGGAGGAATGGGACAGAAAACTCAAAATGCTGGATGGAAGGTCTTCCATCTGTCAATGCTGTACTGTACAGTCTGGAATTTAATGGGAGTACTTGAAGATTCATGTGACGTTCATTTGTGTGTTATCAGGGGTCCTTTGAGAAAGATTGTAATCTGAAAAATACCTGAAACAGGAAAATATTGTCAAATTTGCTTTTGCCAAGTTCATGTGGCTCCAAAACAGCCTGTGATATTTTTGGCTTGGAATTCAGAGACTCCACAATGTCAAATCCATTAGCTCAAATTCTTCTCTATAGGAGTTGAAAAATAAATTAATAGACATCAGAAGTGCTTTGAGGCCAAAAGAGCACAAGATACCTTGCCTGCAGAAAGACCCATGCAGTGATGCAGTGCTTGAAACCCTACTTGTAGGTTTTGTTGTTGTGGAAACTACATCAGAAAAAATATTTTAATTTCAATCATGGAAGAGAGACTTAATCTCACCTCTTTAAGATATTTGTTAATCAATACAACTTAAAACACTTCATAGGATAATGGTTAGGTAAAGATCTACTGTACTTCAAAAATCAAAACTCCCTTAGTGATTTGAGCCAACACCTTACCTTTGCATCAAAATCATATGGTAGAAATTTCCCTGCTCTCACTCCTTGTCATTTTGGTCCATTCAAAAGGCTTCAAAAACCTTGAATTCAAAGGATATAGTTACCATATATCTTATTGCTGGAGCCATGCATCCAGAGGTATGCAATTGAATGCTTTAGTGGAAAGACATTTCTCATCCCAGTTTTTTTTTTAAAGATTCTAAATTGCAGTAGAAAACTATGAATGATTTTGTGTGACCCTGAAACTGTTTTTTAAAGGAAAAAAATAGCAGTTCAACAAATTAAAATTTCAGTAAAAGGGTGTGTTTTGCAAACTTTCAATTCAATGCAGGTAATTATTTTTGCAATTTCTCAAGAGTCCTCTCATCAGTGAGAGTCAAGGAGGAGGCTAAACAGGGAAATTAGCAAAAACTATGCATTGTCTTGCTCAGAAGAATAAGTCCCAGGGGTTCATCTTACAGCCTGCTGCATTCCTGCCTTTCATCCCCAGAGCAGAAAAGTTATCTAAAAAACAATTGTAGGAAGTTCACCAGAGGACTCAATTCAATTATTAGTAAATACTGTGCTGCTTTAGGCCTGGAGAGAGAATTCTCTCCTGGAGAATTCCAAAATTTATGCTTCTCATTTGCTTCAGATGAAGTGTAGAAGTTGGGTTTTGTAACTTTCATCCAAGCAACCAGCACAGTTGTCATCCAAGAAAAGTAAAAAAATTCCTGAGGAAATAGTTAGCATCATCCTTTGTTAGAGTTCCTGTATATAGGTAAACTGATGGTTTGAGGGTCTTCATATATTTTTTTGGTATCTGGGAAGATCAGGCTACAGATGAGATCAGGGCTACCACGAGTTATAGAAAGCATAACTGCATAAAAGAATATAATATTTGCTCTAAGCAGTGAATCTGGGATCTCAATCTTTGTGACATGCCTTTTGTCATATGATAATGAAATAGGTGGAATTGATATGTTGTGGGTACACTGCCCTGTAGGTTTTCTCTTTACCAAAGATCAATGCAATATGGTGTATTCAAGTTCCTTTAAGGGGTATACAGTCAACCCCGCACAACAGACTTGATTTGTGCAAGACTAGTTTGTTGAGTGGACAATATGCTATGCAAATTCAATTACCAGTGTTAAACTTTGAAATTTTTAATTTTTACCATTAACTTTAAGCCAACAGAAGTCTCTCAAGCAGATTGAGTCCATTTTTTGGGAGGGAAAACTGCCTGCAGATGTGGTCCATTGTGCAAAAGTCTGTTGCATGGGAGGGCCATATTGTGCAGGGGTGGCTGTATAGTGTTTTACTCAATGCAAAGGTTCAGTGCATGAGATTTTCTTTTGCACATTCAAGATCCAGATGGGGATGTCATGTATACAAGCCAAATTTATGATTTTTGCATTCAAATAAAGGCTAAAATAATAAATGCTTACTTTTACCTTAATTGCCATAGGTTTTGGCAGTATTTTTCTTTATAAAGGTTTGTGCTTATTAGTGAGTGTATTCCAGAGGGAGATATGTATTAGTTTTTTGTACACAATAAGTGCAGAAATATGCTAATTGGAATTGTGAAAGGAAACTATGCTTCAGCTTTCCTAGAGAATTCTCTCCTGGAGAATTCCAAAATTTATGCTTCTCATTTGCTTCAGATGAAGTGTAGAAGTTGGGTTTTGTAACTTTCATCCAAGCAACCAGCACAGTTGTCATCCAAGAAAAGTAAAAAAAATTCCTGAGGAAATAGTTAGCATCATCCTTTGTTAGAGTTCCTGTATATAGGTAAACTGATGGTTTGAGGGTCTTCATATTTTTTTGGTATCTGGGAAGATCAGGCTACAGATGAGATCAGGGCTACCACAAGTTATAGAAAGCATAACTGCATAAAAGAATATATTATTTGCTCTAAGCAGTGACTCTGGGATCAATCTTTTTGACATGCCTTTTGTCATTTGATAATGAAATAGGTGGAATTGATATGTTGTGGGTACACTGCCCTGTAGGTTTTCTCTTTACCAAAGATCAATGCAATAAGGTGTATTCAAGTTCCTTTAAGGGGTATACAGTCAACCCCACACAGCAGACTTGATTTGTGCAAGACTAGTTTGTTGAGTGGACATTATGCTATGCAAATTCAATTACCAGTGTTAAACTTTGAAATTTTTACTTTTTACCATTAACTTTAAGCCAACAGAAGTCTCTCAAGCAGATTGAGTCAATTTTTTGGGAGTGAAAACTGCCTGCAGATGTGGTCCATTGTGCAAAAATCTGTTGCATGGGAGGTCCATAATGTTGCAGGGGTGGCTGTATAGTGTTTTACTCAATGCAAAGGTTCAGTGCATGAGATTTTCTTTTGCACATTCAACATCCAGATGGGGATGTCATGTATACAAGCCAAATTTATGATTTTTGCATTCAAATAAAGGCTAAAATAATAAATGCTTACTTTTATCTTAATTGCCATAGGTTTTGGCAGTATTTTCCTTTATAAAGGTTTGTGCTTATTAGTGAGTGTATTCCAGAGGGAGATATGTATTAGTTTTTTGTACACAATAAGTGCAGAAATATGCTAATTGGAATTGTGAAAGGAAACTATGCTTCAGCTTTCCTGGTTGGAAGGGGAAGTGAATACAGGTGGACCCTCCTTACCACAATTGTGTCTTCAAAAATTTTCTCTGTACTGTGTAACAAATTTGTTTGTGGTCCCACACAATTGTCTCCCCATGATATCAGGGTTTTCTACAGTGAAATTCTCATGACATAAATTTTTTTCTGCTCCTTTGCATTTTGTTGAAGAGAGAGAGAGAGAGAGAGAGAGAGAGAGTACACCTGTATATTAAATTTTTGTATATATTGTACAGTTATGCATGTTGTGATTAAGATTGTGTCATACACTACCAGCACTCTTTTATATGCTAAATTATTTTTATTCTGGGTTTTTTATTTAAAAAAAACAGCTGAATTTTTCTTTTTTCTTATAAGGGATTGTTGTAGGATTTGTTGATCTACTATTGTGTTTCAGTTACTCAAATCTCCCTGCTGTTTTGAAACCTTGTACAGGCCTCAAAGGTTTTGCCATTATTATCTGGGCAACAATGCAGGCAAGACAATTCACTCAAATTATCACTGCCAATCATGAACAGTGTCATTACTTCCATTGTTGCTTTTTCAGCAATGGGAATACAGTCAACCCTTGCTTAACGTTTTAAGTTGGTGCAGGGAGAAAAAACATTAGCTGTAAAAAAGTTAAGCAAGGTAGTCTCTCCCTTAAGACATAAGGGAGAAACAATTAATTGGTGTTGAGCAAAATTTTCTAAAGGTAAAATTCAGAAAAAAATTAATCAAAGAGTGTATTCCAACAACTGAGCTTTATGCACTGCCAATATATTCAAAAAGTAACCACAGTTCTTCACTCAATTGAAATCAGAGATTCATTTTAAACAAGGAAAGGTCTAAGTGTTATTCAAAATTCAGTGTGTGACACTGCAATTGCTCATAAAATAATTGCAACACCACACCACCACACAGGAAACAGCTGTGGAAAAAGTCACATTCAAAAAAATGTACAGGAGGGAGAGAGGGAGGCATCCACATTGATCACCCTGTGCTGCACAACTGCAGAACGTTAAGCGGATTTCAGAACGTTAAGCCAGGGGATTTTTCTCACAGGACCAGGAACATTAAGCAAAAAAATGTTCAGCAAATGGAACATTAACCAAGGGTTGACTGTATTGTATTTGTGTGGGGTGTCTCATTAATGTTTGGAAGTAGTTAGGGCGAGATGAAGATAGAATGAAGTTTTCAATGAAAAGAATCTCATTGTGTAGTACAGGTGGTGTCCTGTAAAATTTGACCCTTATTTGCTGCTGGACTTGGGTCAAATTGCAAAATGGTCAAATTGCAAAGCACCATGCAACTAAAATATAGGAAAAACAGCAACAACAAAAAAGCACTAGAAGTTGGCGGAATCAGGCCACATTTTCGGGCAGAGGTTGAATTACAATTCAAAAGTGAGACGAATCTCGCTGCTGAATTTTCAGCAGATATCTGATTGCGAAGCAGAGGGTTCCATTGAAATAAAATAACCACTGAAATACGACTGATTGAAAATATATCTCACGCACAGGGGGCGAGGATCACGAGTGCCAGTCACTTCGAATCTGAATACATGCTGGGTCGCAAGATCGTGTTCGTTTGCGTGGCCCGGGGCGACCCGCGACCCAGGATAACCTGGTTCAAGGACGGGATCGAGGTCTACGCTCACCACTTTTTCCACGTTCACGAGTGGCCCCTGGGCGACAAAGAAATCAAGAGCAAGATGGAGATCGATCCTGCGACGCAAAAGGACGCCGGATTGTACGAGTGCCAGGCGGACAATCGGTACTCCGTGGACCGCAAGGCCTTCCGCACTGACTACGCCATCAGCATTGACTGAATCGAGTTGCCCTTCCTCAATTCTCCAAAATTTGCGGCTAGATGTCGCTGTACTACCAACTTGACGCTCGTATCTATCGAAGTTTTTCTTCGCGCGACCTTTGCAACAATTTGTTTTCCGGACTTTGCATTGACTTTCACTGTAATTCAGCTCGATTATACTGTATATCTTTCATGGAAATTCTTCGTAGTGTTATTTTCTTGGCAACTATGTAGAAAAAATTGCATCTAAACGGTATGGAGTCCATATATTCACATTTGTGAAACGCCCTTGTATAAGAAGGGAGAAAATATAACATCTATGCATGGAAAACAAAATGAAATCAGATAATTTCGTATACATACTATCTCGTTTTTGAGAGCGATAGCATGCCAATATTTTGGAAACGAAGGATTGTTTCTATTACGAATGAGGCAGAGCTGATGATTTTTTTCGCCGATTGTTTTATTTTTGTAAAGCAAATAATTAGGTGTATAACTTATTCTTTGATCTTCCTAATTTGAAAAGACAAATTCATGAAATTTCTGCGTGATTCAGCTCCAAATGGCTTATTTCATTTGTCTTCTCGCGTACAATGGACACACATATATGTAGCACACATACGATTGATCTTTTCTCGCGAACCACGAACGACATCAAAAAATAATACAGACATATTCACGAAAATTATCCAAAATAGTCTGAATCATGAATATTTTTTTTAATCGAACATATATATTTCAGAACAGGCATTGAGACGCGCAGCAATTCAAAAATGGTTTTCTGCATCGTATCCAAACTCAAAATCATTCATCTTAATTCTCAGGCAGCGACAAACTTTCGAAATTACTTCAAATGCTTTTTTTTTCGAATAGAACCTCATTTATTTCAAGGAATGTCGTGTTTTTTTGCATCTTGAATGCCATTTTTAAAATTCTCGAGCACTCATCATCTTTTTCGTCTTCCTCGAAATTTCATTTTACATCTGAAATTCGACAGAAAATGAGGGTAGTAAAAATCCCAGCAAGTAAATAATTATTTTTTTTTATAGGGTGAAGTCAGGGTTTTCTCCTGTTACTGCATGGGTCTTTTTTCTTTCTTTGGCCAAATTTCAAGCAGAAGATCAGCAAAGATAATAAAATGTGTGTGTGTGTTTTTTTAGAGATCCCATATGGATTTCGATATTGATAGAAATGTTTGTCTTTAGTTTAAAAATCTTACATCTGTCCTATGATTTGGCAGGCATTTTGTAACACCTGTCTGCTACAATCAAGGAAAATCATAAAGAAACAGTTTTTGAATTTGCAACAAGCAGGCATTTTAAAATGCTTTCTGCTACATCCACAAAAATCTGAAATGAACAGTTTTTGTCATTGTAACAAGCAGGCAGGCATTTCAAAATGCCTGCCTGTAACAATCAAGAAAAGTAAAACCAAAATCTTTAAAGTATAGGCATAACAATAGAATGCGTTGAAAATGCATTCCCAATGCGTTGAAAATGCATTCCCAATGCGTTGAAAATGCATTCCCAATGCCTTGAAAATGCATTCCCAATGCATTGAAAATGCATTCCCAATGCCTTGAAAATGCATTCCCAATGCCTTGAAAATGCATTCCCAATGCGTTGAAAATGCATTCCCAATGCATTGCAGAAGAATGGTTCAGTGCACCACCAAAAGAAAAAAAAAGAATGCATAGCAGAAGAAGCTGAGCCCAACAGTTACACATAACAAATGCAAGACTCAACATGTAGCTGTTACACCCAGCCCTTCCTGTAACAAATTATTTGCTGGGGAACATTTTTTCCCTTCAACAGATTTTCCCTATATAATACTGACTTCCTCATGAGTGAGTGGAAAATTTTTATTTCGACTCGGGCAGAAAAAAACGAGATTTGTATTTTTGCGATATGCTTTTGAAGTTAAATAACTAGACCACGGAAATCTCTCGCCAAAAGCCAGGAAAACATCGCCGAAACACCGACGACAGCAACGGAGAATCCGTTCCCGTTCGTCGTCAATTTCATCGACACTGCGTCATTGGACGATTTGCTGGCACTGACGACGGAAGTCCGGTTGCTGTCGACCATGTCCTGCTGATGCTGGTGGTGTTCGTCGTCGTCAGCACCACCAGCAGTGCCTGGGACTGGTTCCGCATCCATTCCTGGCACGTAATTTCCGGATTCGGGATATTGGTGGGGGTTGTAATTGTAGGGGATCGCACCAGGGCACTTGGCACCCGTAGACACGGGTTCACTGTTGCAATTGTCTGCGTCGCACAGGCAGATTTCCTGACCGTTCAGGTGCTGAACGCAGCCAATGACGGCTTCGTTGCTGAGCATCAAACCACGGGTCTGCACCTTTGCTGTGTGTGCATGTGCAGAAATTGGCGAAAAAATGATTGACAATTGTTGAGTATAAGTTGAGAGAAAAAAAGAAAATATTTAATACAGTCAATCCTCTCTGAGCGGAATTTCAAGCTACCTTCAAAAAATTCAACTTAGGGAGATTTAGAATTTTACAGGTTGAAACTTGGAAAAATGTAAGTGGTGATTTTCTGGGGGGCTTAAAAGGCTTCTTTTAAATGAGTTGAAAAGGCTGCTGAACTTGGAGGCAGGGGTTCAGTTGCCCAAATAAGTCTTTCACATCCTTTGAAACCCATATATTTATGTTTTTATTACTTTTTTCTCTTTTGGGAAAAGAAAATAATGGCCTATAGGCCACAGAAAATTTGACTCATGGAGGTTTGAAGGAAAAGCTTTCAACTTAGGGAGGTTTCTAATCTTTTGTTTCTAAGGGAATTCACATGGGGATATGAAAAAATTGACTTAGGGGGTATTTGACTTAAGGAGGTTTGAGTTATCAAGGTTTACCTGAGATAATATAAGAAAATAAACTCTTCTGCTGTATTTTATAATACAGAAGAGTTTTTTTGTTACACAGAATAAACTCTTCTGTCTCATTATACAGAAGAATTTATTTTCTTATAGTCAACAGCAACGTTAAAAAAATAATGGTGAAAATTAAAAAAAAATTATGGCAACAATTTAAAAAAATGCAGCAATAAATGTTAAAAATTGTTGAATGTAACACATTTTTTATGCGCATCTAACTTGTTCCAGAATTATAATCAATCCTATTCAGACATAACTTAAGTAATGCCTAAATAAATACCTGTAACAAGAAAGCATTTGGAAACACCTACTTGCTACACCATTTTCAAAGTCCCAAGTAGGCATAACAGAAAGGCGTGGAATTTTTGGCATGAAATGCATTTGTCACAAGTTTTGCTATGCCAAATTATTTGCTGGGAATAGTTATCAGCAGGAAATGGTTGGAGACAAAAGAGAAAGTACAGGTGAACCTCAATAACTCAAACCACCCTAAGTTGAATACCCCCCTAAGTCAAATTTTTTTCATATCCCCATGTGAATCCTGTTAGAAACAGTAGATTAAAAACCTCCCTAAGTCAAAAGCTTTTCCTTCAAACCTCCATCATAAGTCAAATTTTCTGTGGCCTGTTGGCCATTATTTTCTCCTCCCAAGAAAGAAAAAAGCAATAAAAACAGAAATGTATTCATTTTAAAGGAAGTGAGAGACTTATTTGGGCAAATTAACCCTTGCCTCCAAATTCAGCATTCTTTTCAACTCATTTAAGAAGCCTTTCAAGCGCCAAAATATCACCATTTACATTCTTCTAAGTTTCAACCTGTAAAATTCTGAACCTCCCTAAGTTGAAACCTCCATGAATTGAATTTTTTTGCAGGTCCCTTGAAATTCAACTTAGAGAGGTTCAACTGTAATATTGTGATTCTGCAAAAATCAGCAAACTGAAGTAAAAGTGGTTTGTAATTTCCAACTTCACTCTGCGTGAATTCGGGGGAAGAAAGCACAGCATTTGGATTTTTTTTGAAAATAATTTTCAAATATTTTTCGAATACCTTTTGTTTTGTCGACGAACAGTGTGTAGCAGAAGAGTTGTTGATCCACACTTCCGTCGCTGACGAAAATCTGATCGACTCTGACGTCGTCGCAACACGCGTCGACATTGTTACTTCCTGCTGATGATGAACCCGTGTCGCATACGTAACAGCTTAACCGATTCTTTGCTGTAATACAATATAACCAATTTCAGTTTGAAAGTAAGCAGAACATTTCACGGCTGGTTCTCCAATTACATGCTGCTGCATAAAAATACTTCCACAGTTTTATTAGACATCAAAGTCACTTCATGTAATCAACTGAGTAAAATCCAGGATAAGTATTCCAACAAAAAAGCACTTTGATTCAAGTATATATATATACGCAGGTGGTACCTCACAATTGGACCTCCTGCAATTCAATGGTCAAATTTCCTTGGAGGTTGACTTGCAATTCAACCTCTTTCTTCAAATTTGACCTGTTTTATCCTCTTTTATAGTGTTTTTGTGCTGTTTGCACTTGATTGATTGGAGTGTATCCTGCAATTCAATGGTCAAATTTCCTTGGAGGTTGACTTGCAATTCAACCTCTTTCTTCAAATTTGACCTGTTTTATCCTCTTTTATAGTGTTTTTGTGCTGTTTGCACTTGATTGATTGGAGTGTCTTGCAATTTGACCCTAGTTTGGGAATGGGTTAGGGTTGAGTTACAAGGTACCACTTGTATTTTTAGAATTACATTCTGAAGAGTAGATTAAAAAAAATTGAAAATAATCTGCAGTTATTTTTGCAGAAACTGTGTGTTCCTTTGTGTAAAAAAAATACTGTGTAATAATTTAATGGGCCTAGTGTGAGCAATAAACAAAATCTCTCTTGGGATACACATAAAAAAAATTATGTTCAAAAAACAAATTGTATATGCACAACATATATATATGATGAAATGTACATATTTCAAAATATTTCCTCAATATTATGGGATAACACCTTGAAAAGATAAAAATCATTGTCCATGGTATTAAAATTGTTCTTGATATGTTTATCAAAATAACACCTCTCCAAATATACACATTTTTTGGAAAACAAAAAAGTTCTCCCAACATCCCAAAGTTCTACATCAATCAAAATAATTTGATTTTTTTTGCTTCACAGAAACCAGAAAAATACTTCAATGCTTCAATCTTTATTGTTCAACCATCACTTTTAATTTATTTTGTCATCTGTTTTGAAGTTTTGTTTCTCTTTTTGCTGAATTCCTGACAGAAAACCTTATACAAGAGTCTAAATTCATTTTCTGTAATGGGGGAAAAAACCAATTTTGGAAGAAACACCTTATTGTTATCTTAGAAAAGGTAAACCCCTCTCTTGCCTCACTCACAATAAGAGAGCACACTTTGTCCACTCTCTCAAATCAATGGCAAGATCAACTGTCTTCCATGAACCACTCATTGTCTCTTAATTTTCTAGAAGAGAGAATATCTTTCCTTAGAAAGGAGAAATCTGAAGACAATACTTATATTCTATCCAAGAAATGTCAATCTAATTACAATTAAAAAAAACTCTTGATAATCATCCCAATTTCTGAAAATTGCTATTATTACACAAAGCATATAAACACTTCAAGTTTCTATCTGAATGTTTCTTGCAACTCACAACTTGAATTTGTTTTGTCATCTGTTTTTGATGTTCAATNAAAAAAACTCTTGATAATCATCCCAATTTCTGAAAATTGCTATTATTACACAAAGCATATAAACACTTCAAGTTTCTATCTGAATGTTTCTTGCAACTCACAACTTGAATTTGTTTTGTCATCTGTTTTTGATGTTCAATTTCCCTTTTGTTGAGTTTGTGACACAAAACCTGTGATATGTGAGTCTAATTTTGTTTTATCATTATAGTGGAAGCAATTCAAATTTTGCAGAATTTTTTGTTTTCTTTGACACACTTTGTTGATTACAATTAAAAATTTAAAAAAGGCCACCATTCCATTTTGAAAAAAACGACCCTCCGAAATATGCTTTCCTAATTTAAAAAAAACAGAAAAATGTTTTAAAAATTCACCGGTTTCTTCAACATCGTTTTCCAGCATCAATTTCGGTGAGATCCCAGAAGGCCTGGGTTTGTGCAACGAGTCCGGCAGGTTCGGGTGTTCGTAAACCTGGGAACCCTCATCATCTCCTCCTGCTGATGGGTCATACCCATCGGGTTCTGCGTCATTTTGAGGCTTTCCGACCACTACAAAGATCAAGTCGAGTATGACGACGAGTGCCAGCAGATGGCGTACCAATCGTTTCTCTGAGAACACTACTATCATGATTTTTTTTAAATTTTTTGGTCTTTGGTGTAGCACTTGAATCACTTTTAGGTCCCGAAAATGTTACGGTATGAGGGCTGGGGATTGTCAGAGAACTGCGCCCTTGTTGCCACTGCGGGTTCTTTTCTCTGTGCCATTGAGTAACTCCAAAAATGTGTGTGTTTTTACTGTATAGTTACCTTGTACAGGTGGTATCTCACAATTTGACCTCCCACAATTCAACCATCCCGCCATTCAATGGTCAAATTTGCACGGAGTTTGACTCGCAATTTGACCCTTGCCCCACAATTCAACCTGCTTTGGCCAATTTTGTTTGCTTTTTCAAACTGATATTTTTGAAATTTAACAAAGTGTCTCAAAATTGGACTGCTTTGAAATTTGACCCTAGTTTGAATTAGGGTTGAAATGTCCGTATGTTGAGTCTTGTTTTCCCGTAGACTTACATTATATAATTTTTAAGTGGTTTTTTATAGAAGAAATATTCCTTAGAATTCCAAAAAAAAATTTTGCCACTCAAATTTGATTCAGTGAATATATTTTCAACCAAATAAGAACATTTGGGGCATTGAATAGTATACCATTGTACAGTTCATTGAAATGTTAGCATCTGTAAAAATAACATCCAAGTCTCAAAGAGAGAAGAAAGTCCCTCTCTTGTATAGGTATTTTTTTCAAGTAGCTGAATAATGGGAAAGTGATGGGAAAATTACGGAAGAATTTTTCTTGCATTGATCTTAGGGTTGGAAATTGTTGTTTTTTGCTATTAAGATTAATAAAATTCAATTTTCTTGAAATTTATTGGCAATTTTAGCATGCAATGTCCTCATGTGGAGTCAGTGTCCCTATGTTGGACATTTTTATGATTTTTTTATTGAAAAGTAAATTTCCCTATGCTGAATTGTCACTATGTTGCAGTGTCCGCATGTGGGAGTCTCACTGTAATTCCATCCAACCTACTAAAACCAGTCATATTTTCACAAATTCATTTCAGACTGTTTCTTCCTGAATTAAATAATTTTTATGTGGAGAATTGATACAATAAAATGATACAAAAATGTTTAATACACATATGTGGCACTCCGCAATTTGATACTAATCCATTGCCAGATGAGGGTCAAATTGCAAACCAAAAAAATTGCAAGACACTGTGTACAATTAAGAAAGCAGCACAAAAAAGCAAGAAAAGTGGCTGAAGCACATCAAATTGCTGGGCAAGGTTTAATTGTGACTCAACCTTTCTGCCAATTCAACCATCAAATTGCAGGATGGACAAGTTTGTGGAGAATGAATTTCAAGGTATGACCTGTACTGGAATTGGGTAGTTTGATATATTATAACAAAATGTTATAAAATGTTCTCTGTATGGGCTTTCTGCTGGGAATTGAGAAACAGTTTCTTACATTGAAAATTGGGTTGTATTGGTATTTCCTGCAACCAAATTTTTCACTTCATTGGTTTTTGGAGTTGAATCAAATGAGTAAAAAATTGCTGCAACAAAGACATTGAGACATGTAAAACAGTTTTATTATGCAGAACAATTTGTCATGTACAGTCTATAAGGAAACTAGAGTAAAACTGGCCATCAGACAGGGAACTTGAAAATAATTTGTTGCATCTGTAATGGCAAATGCTTTAACATATTATTCTTCACTTGGCCAGCGCAGAGCTCATTTTTTTGAAGTTGCTCAACGACAAAAATATCGGAAGATTTCGCTGTTGAGTGCGTCTTATCAATGAGATAACGTTCGGTTTCCAGTATAATACAACAGGTGTCCTCATATCGGGACACGTTTGTTTGGTGTATTCACCGTTGATACTTCGTGGACTTCTTTTTTTTTCTCTTTGTTTATGTATTTTATACTTCCGACCTAGGTTCGGATTTGTGAACTTATTCCCGTCTGTGCTGAGCTGGAGTCATAATTTCTGGAAAACGTGTGTCGTCTGGAAAAATTTTAATATAAACTTCCCCGAATGGGAAATGACTGTCAAGTGAGGAAAATCACTATTCAGAAAATGTTTTGCAGTATTTCTTGTCTTTTCACTTCGAGAAAAACGGAAGTCAAGTTTCAAGATAAATTTCAGGTGTGATTCATGAACATTTCCGGATGAACGGGATCAGAAAACGTTTTATTAGTTCGGAAACCAGAATTT